ATTTTTACACTGCAGCTTTCCTTTAAGCCGTGGTGGCAGCTACACATTCACAGGGATGGTTGTGCTGCGCCTCAGTTGGTGTAACATAGAATAGGATCTTTGGCTTTCAGGGAAGCTCAACTTACTTGACTATCTTGAGAAGTCTGGTCACTTTCTTGCTATATAAGATTTATTAGTGCTTTTAAGTAAATGTATTTCAAAAGGTAATTTTTTTTTTTTTTTTTTGCAATTGTGCATTTTTAGATAAATAAAACAATGATTTACAAAATAAACACCTTTGTTAAGAAAAAAGTATGAGTGAGTCCAGTATTAAGGAAAAAAAAAAATTGTTTAAAATAATCACTGAAAACACTATGTGTAAATATGAAAATATTTCTAACAAACAGCTATTATGAGATGTTAATGCTTTACAGCAAGCTCTGCTTCTGGCAAAAGGACTATATAAACTGTCAGTTGTCTTGAGGGAACCTATTTATGAGACTTCACCCTCCAAAGTGTGGCCTGTCTAAAGTTATTTTTCCTGGATGTTTGTTTTGTTGCAGGTGCTAAGACTAGAGACTAATATCAATTAACCTTTTGAAGCTGACTGTAGATGATATGCCTTCCCTTTTCAGTAAAAGAAGAAAAAAAAAAATTGCAGGTGAATGTTTGTTAAGCTAGCATTTTTTTGGGGGGGGGTTTGGAGGGTGGCTAAGTGGCACAACATGGAACAGTCTGAAATCAGTTTAGCTCAAATAATACAGGCTCTGAAAACTTAGCTTTTTTTTCAAAAGGTTAAGTGGAAACGTGTAGAAAAAGAGAGACCACTAACAAGACAACTGGACTTTGACTTGTACTGTCTTCAGTTAGGTAATTTAGAAATGAAAATATCTGTACTGCGGTGGTGGCTGGATCTGCTCAGTATCTTGTCACTACAGAAAACAGGAAAAAGAATATAAACATGTCCTGATACCACTATTTCTGCTCTGCAATACTGTAAGTAAGTAGTCTGCTTTAGGTCAAAATCAGTGCTCACTATTTTCATACCAAGTTTTTTGATCTGGTAGGCATAATCAAGAAAAGACCATTATGCTATATTAAAAACAGACAGAAATTGGGCTTAACCAGAAAAGTTTTACCCTTACTACTATATATATACATTTTTTTTTTTTTTCCTGAGTTGAAGTCAAAAAGCAGCTGTTGTACTTAGTGGTTTTGTCTGAAGCCCTGCAGAGGCAGTAAGAAGTAACTGATGCCTGGTATCCACTCCAAGAGCCCAACTCTCTATATGTGATAATACAGCTCTTTTGGGTAAAGTACACCTTACTTTCATGGCCCACAGCACTAAAAACAGCAGTTCAGTTCTGCATAAGCCTCGCTTTTTCAGCAGAGAGAATGGAAAAGCAGGGGGAAAAAAAGCAGTATCATTGAAAACATTAATTAGACTGGTAAGAACCCTCTTTATTTTACATCAGTTGCATGTTTTTCTTCATGGAGGAAGGCTTCTAAAACTGAAACATAGCTAAGACTGGTCTCTAGTAACATAAGCACTGCACAGAGTAGTTCAGGAAGTGTCCATGGTTTGTACAGTTTCATCTACCACCTCAAGTTCCAGGAGTGCTACGTTTTCAGTGAGAACAGCAGTAGTTCCTTTTTCACACTTGTATCTACCAAACCTGTTAAAGAAATAGGTGAAAGTTAATGTGGAAGATGATAATACCCAGGAAAAGTCACATTTAAAATTTATTCTAGCTCTAATAACTTTCCCTGATGTGGGAGTTTCTTATGCAAGGCCAAAGCGAGTAAAGAAACTGTGCTTAGTGTAAAGTCTAAACTGATTGTAATAAACTGAAGTTTTAAATAAACAGGTATTTTAGGAAGCATATTGTCTTTTTAAAAAAAAAAAAAAAAGGTTACCATGTGACTTGAAAGGCAACTTGATAGAAATAAGTGAGAGGTCATAAGAGCATACAGCATTCTTGTTGTGTGGCCTTGCTCAAAGAGCACACTTTGCGGCTCCAGAGTAATTTTTATCAATGTTTTACCTAATTTTAACACAGAAATACTAAGCTAACATTTAAAACAAAATGTCTGCCATCAAGCCATGCTTCTGAACGCTTGCTACAGCTGACTGTAAAAATGGCACTTTTTTTTGCTGTTCTCCCATTTACGCAGCGGAATGCAGTCTCACTTGAACTGCATAATGAACACGCTCTCCTGGCTGACCATCTATAAAGGCGTCTGCTCAGAGTTAAGTTTCACGCATAGGCAGTTGTATGGCAAGAAGTCCAAAGGATCCTTAACTGGCGCAAGGCTGTTCATTTTGGCTTTGGCAATAGTATCTGCCTTAAAAAGAAGGGGGAGAAAAAAGTAATTCCTTTAAACTCTACTATTTTGACAGTGGACTGAAGAGTTGCACAACTTGTTACACATAACATAAAAGTACATATTGCAAAATTCTGTGACTGCCTTAGGGGCTATGATTCACTGATTAGGCAATGCAGTTCACCAAGCAACATGTCTGAGTGTGCAGAAGAATAATTGTCAGCTCTTCTGAAGTGAGTAAGATTTTAAGGTTAGAATTTCATCACCTTGTGTCCTGAATATTCTCAGTATTACAAGATCATATTATACATACGTAAACATAACCTTGTTCCCAATAAATTTTGTAGTTAACTATTTGTGACACTACATTTAGGAGATTCAAAATGACTGTCCTAAGGACACAAAGTGGCAGCATAATGTTGCCTTCGTGAAGGATTTCCAAGTGTTACAAAATGCTGAAGTTTTAACATGCTGTGCAGCCTTCCCATGTGCTTTGAGGAACTGAACACTGAGAACTGTAAAAGGGGGGAGAGTGTACAGAAATCTGTCCTTCTGATGTAGCTTGCCAAATGAGACCTGGAAAACAAACAGCACAAGTTTCGACACAGGAGAACTAGTAGGAGAGGGCTGCCACACTGGAAAAGCATGAACTCTCACAACTTGCAAAATTTTTTGTTTTTATACACAAAATGGGCATCAACTTTAATCTGACTAAAAATCTTGCTACTGCCAAATTTAGCTATTAACTATAAACTATCTTTTCAACAAGTTACAGTAGATAGCGGGACAATTTTTATTTGTATGAGAACTGTGATGATCAAAACAATGACTATGGTGTCTTAGCAGTCTTATATTAGGTGTTACTGGCTAGAAAAGATCTCTAGAAAGATTTTTGTTGTTAGTGGTGGGGGTTTTTTGTTGTGTTTTTTTTTTTTTTTTTTGTCCTGACAGCAAGTTCTTATATAATGGCTAATGACAGGCTGTGCTGCCAGCTACTCCCTTTTCCACATTGCCATGCTAAATTTAGGCAGAACTGCAAAGAGTATGGCGACACCACTAGTCTTTCCAACACCACACACACATTTCAGCAAAAGAATAGCAAAACAGGACTGCATTGCTATGCAATAGCAGAAAAACAAGTATCTATCTGCTTAGTCACAAATGTTAAACTTGATGACCCTCTCAAACTTCCTGAAACTCGAAGCAGTCTCCCAGCTTGGTAAAGAAGTGGCAGGTAAGCATTTCTTCCACATATCTGTAAATGCCACTAGCAAACTCACTATGCGGCTGCAGCCACTTTTTTTTTTTTTTTTTTATTTATTCTAATATATTAAATACAGATTTAAAGACTATCCTCTAGTAGCTATAAACTACATTGAGAGGTTTTTGACAATGGCTGTCTTAAAGCTTTTTGAAACGTATGTAGAGAATACTCTGGAAAAAATTCAGTACAATAAATCATGGAAGACAGGTAGTGTTAAGAAAAGCATGGATAATGCACAGCTTCAGAGATACCAACCTTTCCCCTTTTTTGTTGGCCACATCATATGGACGGAGGAAATCCAACTTGTTCTTGCTTATAACACAGAGATCTATGTTACTGCCAGAGCCCAGATCATTGTATATGCCAGCTGCAATGGCCTCTTTCACAAGCTGTTTGGCTTCCTCTTCCTGGAAAAAGAGAAAAAAAGCTGTCATTGCACAAGTGTTGGCATTTCACAGAAATGTTTGTCCATGTGACAGTGGAAGCTGTGAGCTCTCAAATGATAAATTGAGATAACAGTGCCTTTTTTTATCACCAAAGTACTGTGGAGCATGACCATCAGTCTACTGAACAGTGGTGCTATCTAAAAGGCAACCTTTTTAACCTGTTCATGTGTCCCCGTCCCCCGAGAGACTTGGTAAAGATTGTCAAGGAAGCAAAATTAAGATTTCTGTCTGTCTAATCAATGAAAGAAAAACTTTATGATATTTTTCCAGGCTTTCATGCACGTGTACAATGCACGTTCCCTGTAGTGCCCTCTGTGTAACTGTTGAAGACAAATTAAAGATCCATACTAGTTTAGTTACAAGCCTTCCCTAGGTGGGGAATATTTAATCATCCTCTGTAGTACCAAAATGGTTTGTATGATTTTTGTAACATAGGCAGCATGGTTTGCAAAATTTATTCTGCTCATCTAAACTGCTGTAGGGGAGCCTGGCTCTGTACCGAATAGTAGTTGGCTAATATTTTTAATTCCAGTGTAGAACGCAAGTGCAGAGAATTTAAAGAAAGCAGCTGCATACTTGCAGAACGAGGTACCTTTGTCAAAAAATCCTATAATTTTTAGTTAACTTCTTGCAATCTAACAAAAAAATGCATTTTCTTCCATTTTGGATTAATGGGAAATATGCTCCAGTCCATTTTTTTGCTGTACATGTCTGAAATTCCACAGATAACTAAAGCATAATATATTTAACATAGTCCACTTAATGTATGCTGCATTTATATATATTTCAAAAGCATATGCTGCACATTATTTCTAAACTGTAATACAGCTAACAAAATCCTATACGAATGTAATCTGAGAACACAGTTTCTTACAGGTTTTTATACTAAAAAAAAAAGGGCAAATATGCAGCTACGGAACTGCATGCTGCACATAGCTCAGAGTTTTGGGGGTTTTTTGGACTATTTAGAAGCTGTCTAAATAGCTTTATGAAACAACGCAGTAGTTTCTGATCTATATTAACACTTGCATAATTAACATTCAGAAAAGTCTTCTACAAGGAAACATTTCAAAATCAAAACTCTCTATTAAAATGATATATTACAACATATCTGTAATCCTCTTCATTTCCTCTGTTATATATATATATATTTTTATATATATATATATAGACACACACACATATATGTATAAAAATGGCATTGATGTAACAGGCCTCAAATTCTGATGCACTTGATAAACTTCCCTTTTCTCGTAAAGGCTATTAGAGTTGCATTGGCTCCCTCTACAGCTCCCTAAGAGGGTTTGTTTCTATTTAAACGACAGCTTTACTAAAAGTCACAGATCAGAGCCAGCGATAATACAAATAACTTGGTAAGGCCAGTAGAGCCTTAGTTTTACACTGTAACTGAAGATACTACTGAGCATAAAGAAATGTTGCAAAACAACCTTTTTATGTTCTGGACAACTAATTTGACCTGGTGCAGTACTATTTTAAATCTTGCAAAAACCGGGTACAGGTTCCTTTGTTGTCAGTATCTACCTACGCCTCTCAGTATGCTGGAAGAGAGGCTATCAGTCACTTGATAGCTGAACTAAACTGCTCTTCTACCTACACCCAAGCAAGCTTTTAAAACATCGCCTTGGCTCTGCTTACTGCCCGTTGGTTCACACGGCAGAGCGGGCTGAAAACATGAGCTGGATTGCTTTTGGAGGAAACTGAACAAAGATGTGCTCCAGGAGTGTATTTAACATGGTTTGACAACCCTGGGACTAGACTGGACCTGGCCTGCCAAAAAATTGCCTAGAATTCATAGTGTGCATGGGAGGTCCTCTTTCCCCACTGGTTCCACTATATATATTGCATTGCAGTACTTGCTAATAGGGGACGTGTCTGGCAGTGTAAGTTCCACAGAAACTTTAATGGAGCAAGTGCTAAGTGTTCTGGTTGCCTGGCAAAAGTGTCAGTCAGAAAGCATGCTCGTCTATATATTTTGTGTGTGTGTGTGCGTGCGCGCGCGTGTGTGCACGCGCGTGCGTGCGCATGCGTGTGTGCGCATGCGTGTGTGTACTCGCACACACAAACTGAAAAGGCTGCTGAAAAATTACACACACAAGCACATTAATACTACCCCTCTCCCCCCACCACACACCAAACCAGCTTAATTTTTTTCCATCGTGTATAAGGAACTTATTTTACAACTATAAACAGCACATACCTGTTCTAATAATAAAAGAATAAGACTAAAATGAGTCAATGAATACGGAGAAATTCTGACTCAAAAGTTTTAGCCTCAACACATACTTACAGCAGCTACTGCATAGCTAGCCCAATGTTACCAGCTGCTTAACAGGCAGTTCCAAGACACAACGAGTAACTGAATTGTTTCCCATTCTGTTTCCTCTCTTCATTGCTTTTCTGATGTTTCACACATTTAAATAATCTTCTGTCTTTAGGTATCACGAACAAAACAGCAAATATTCAGTGCAGATTTTGACAAATGCAGCTTTTTTACTTGCTTCATTTAAAGCCCTCCGCATCTCTCTGCCTATGTCCTGCCCCATGAACACAATGATGCTGAGAGACATAGCCGACTCCTAGACTGTCTTCTGATGCAGACAGCAGCTGCACACGCCCCGGTGTACAAGTGGAGCTGAAGAGGCGCCCAAAATTAGCTCAGCTACAATCATGTCTGCTCCCACTGCATATTTTGAATTCTCCAATGGCCCGCTATAAAAGAATTTAGTAATAACAGTATTCATATTCAAACAGCTTAATTACAACATGGACCAGGAGAGGTTTGGTTTTGTTTGTTTGTTTAGTAAACTTTAGAAATAGCGTGGGTTCTTATTTCACTCCCAGTTTTATGAGAATTTAATCTTTTAAAAAGTCAGTAAACATGAAATTACTTTTTTTAAAACTGAGCTGACATGAACAAAACAGATGGAAAAAAATAATTTCTGCTTGTTAAATCACTGGTTTTGGTAGTATAACTCATAAGAAAATATTTCCTTATTCAGTGGATACAAGACTAATTTCTCTAAGCTGATTCACTGCGTGCTAAGGATATTTTATATAGCTATACGTATAGCAACTACAGCAAAAGTAAACATACTGAAGCAAATGAAAAACTACATGTAGATATGTTTTAAAATTAAGTAGTAACAGAAATAGGTTTAAGCTATTGTGTGCTGTTTAAGAAAAACACTGCTTAGGCAAAGGCAGATGTGTGGGTTTTCTTTTTTCCCCCCTTTTTAATTTTTCCAAATTTTTAGAACAATATAAGTCTTGCAGAATCACCTGTTGTTTTGAGTTAAACACTTCAGTATATTAAAATGTACTCTTTCTATTAATCTATCCCTATCAAAATATTTTTAAATAGCCACTACAGTCCATAGAGCTCAGTTATAGCCACATTGAGGCATCTACTACACTGAGAAAGGTCTAAAACATAATCTCAGCTCTTTCCTCTGATATAATGCAGCCTAGTTCATGAACCTGAAATAATTTTAATTATAGAGAACCCTGATACAGTGCTGTGTTCACTTCCTATCCCCTTTTCATAATTTAGAAAGATGACCAGAACGGCCATGAGAGAAACTGTTCCTTGATAGAGATCCTGCATACAAAGTTCTAGCAAGAACTGCTGTTTTACGATCAGAAAATAGGGGGTTATAATGAAAGTGCTGACACAGTCTTAACTATAGGGGCATGAATGAGTCACTGTAATAATTAATCTTAAAATAAAAAAAAAAAACCCTAAAAGTTCAGAGTACATAAAAGGAGCACTTCCTACTTTATGGTTGCAAAGACCAAGCTAACTGGGAATATCATTCTCTCGGGTCCACACTACTTCTTAAATGAGATTACAGCAAGAGTGATGTACTGTAATACAAGTCAGTTGTGACAAGCAGCACTTTATAGAGCTATCTGTTTGTCTCCATCACTACATCACACAATGTGTCCCAGGACTCCAATGTGCAACTCCATTTACCACTACATGACAAATGGGCAGCACTTGTAAAAGGCACAAAGAGGTCCAGATCAGCCATGTAATGGTCACCACAGATGTACCGTAGTGCTTGAAGGGGAAAAAAACAGACCCCCAAGTTCATTAAACTGACCAGTAATGGATCTTTCAAAATGCGTCTTAGGAATACTACAGTAAAGGTTAAAATAAATAACTCAGCATGGAAGGCTAATCTGAAACAGTGTTTGATAAATTATTTATAACACAGACAATTGTCTGCATTTAATATTGGAGCTACTGGTAGCATCTTTAAAAGATGATTTATGTGTTGTAATGCCATTAAGCTTTATATGGGCCCACTGCTAGCTATAAAGTCTGCTGAGATTTAGAGAATGAGTTTTAAACTGTCACTGCAACATCATAGTAGATAGAGACTGTATTAAATCTTTACTTTAAACCTGTTATCTGGAGAGTTGCATTTTGTAGACACTCAAGAACTGATAGATTACCTCTCTACATCTGCTATGGTGCAAGTCACAAACAGCACCAATAAGGAACTTTTCCACATTATTCTTGTATATGGCTTGAATCGAGTTTCTCTTCTCACTTAAGCAATTTCCAGATTTCAAGTGCTACCGAAGTAATAAAAAAAAAAGTCTTCTAGAGAACATGTGGATATTTCTACCTCATATTAATACCATCTTTGTAATAGCTTTTAAACAAATGTATCAGTATGCCTGCTTAAGTACAGAGAGCAGCTGCAACAATGTTGTGAGTATTATTTCCTTGCCATTCACATAATTTCACAAGTTAAACTGGAGATGTTTTTCTATTAAAAAAGAAGAAAAAAAAAAACTTTCTACAGTTTTTCAGTAATGTTTGAAGTAAAATTAATGCCTTCTACAGGCCACCAGTATCCTGTCTGATATTTGATATATAGTAGAATGCTTTAACAAGTCTTATCAAGAATTTGAAAGGTTAGTACACTGTG